GACTCCAGATGTGTTTTGCTACAACCGGAGAGACACTTGTTTATTATCTGGCTGGCTCGCGCTGGCGCTACGACACGCCATCTTTTTGCATCCCCCAATGAGATAACCTAAAAGGAGGAGCATCTGACCACAGATCCTCCTGTTTTGTTTTTTGCATGTAAGCCTGTTCTGTCTTGGGTCCGGTCTCTTTCCTCCTGCCGTCAAGACTGATGATGTTCTCCCGGCATTAGGACCAGGGCAGGGGTGGGCCTACCCCTTTGAAAGTGTAATGTATTCTTACCGTTTATCATTAAAACAGATTATTGTTTAACCCTGTATCTGGTGCTTTGAATTCCTTCCTTTATGATTTAACAAGATGCTCACCAAACGAACACGCGGAGCCGAGGTGGGTTTTAAAACCACTCTGCGCCAACAATACTTATTTATACCGGTTCTTCTCGTGTCGTGAGACTGTTGTATGAAAAGCTACTGAACCTGTCTTTGTAGACATGCTTTACTTTTTTCTTAGGAGTGCAAAACCCTTTTCTTTTTAATATTTGTTTTCTCCTGTTTTTACAGTAGAGTAGGTAAGAAGCCTGTATGTTTATTTTCTCTTTCGTTAGGTAAGATTTTTGTGTTTAAAGGTTTGTTTGTTTTATGGTTTTGTTACTCCTGTTTGGTAATAATTTGTTGGTGATTAAATTTACCAAACGGCATTCTCTGACTCAGTGTCCGTGTTCTTGGGAGTGGGGAGAGTGCACATTTTGTGCTGCGCCTAAGTTCCCCTAGACCTGGGCGTAACAGTATGCAACTCTCTCTACAAGTTCTTCAGGAAACCTACAGTGGCTGCAGTCTACACAGGAGAGAAGTTGAAGCGTTTTCTTGATCAACGGTGGACAGGCCACCTGGCCACAGTGACGGTGATCATAAAATCCTTTGAGCACATTGTCCACCTGCTTCGTGAGATTGAAGACAACCAAACCAGTGCTGCAGAGGTGTGAATCGAGTCCACAGGGATTTTGAAGGCCATTACCCAGCCCAGCTTCCAGTTCATTGACTGCATGATGTATCAAATATTGAGTTTGCTCGATCCTCCCAACACTGCACTCCAAGCTAAATCCACTGACCTATACACTGGTGTCAGACTGGTCCAAAGTGCCCTGGTTTGTGTGGAGGAACTGAGATGTGACAGTCAGTTTGACACACTTTGGGAGAAATTCACAAAAGACAGAGAGACCATAGAGAGGGAAGAATTTTGACAAGAGTCAAAGTTAGGTTTCATTCTCCGGTACTTTACTTGAGTGAGTCAACAAATGCAACACCTTTCAATAGCAGATACAACTTGGCTATTAACACTGTATTTCAATCATGAAACTTCTTAATTACCACAATATCATTGATAAGATTATATAATTGACAACATATTACATATAACTGTGTCCATACACAATACACAAGATGGCGGCAAATGCGCGCTACGCAGTGTTTGTTCATGTAACCATGTAGACGTTACACATTCTCGGCTATCACAAGCCCAAGCTGATAAAACGTAATAATAACACTCAATATTTCACACAACTACTTTAAAACACTCCTTACACATCTTAAGTTATAGTTTGGCCCATTTTGTTATGGTTTTGTACTATCTACATACCTGATAAAAGGGAAGAATTTTGACAAGAGTCAAAGTTAGGTTTCATTCTCCGGTACTTTACTCGAGTGAGGAAAGTACCGCGAAACCCCCCAGATATGTGGGCGGAGACAAGAGCAATCGATCTCCGTCTCCCAGATCAAGGCCATCTAGTCGATCACAGTTTAACAGATCACACGTCTCCAAAACAAACACAAACCAGCGCAGACAGAATACCTTCTCGTCCTTTCCAAACATCCTACAATTAAACTACATTAACAAAGGTCAAAGGTAACAGTTAAAATACTGTCAATGTTACAAAAACAATCTATTACACACTCCCCTGCTAAATTTGATGTCGTCCCGACATCTCAAAATCTATAAACTAAAGGTTTTAAACCTGAAATGTTCAATTTGGTCTTGAGGTGTGTCAATAAAGTGATTAATTTTGGCATGAACACAATAAATCTACTGAACTACTGTTTCTGTTTGTGTCAAACGGTCTCAGTTCTACCATTCTCTATAATACACGGTCCATGTCTGTTTTATGCCTATGTAGCAGTGGCCGCAGAATAAATATATTAATTTAACAGTTTGGTTAAACCACTAAGTCCGACAACGCCACCCCGGGAATTTCACCCAGGGAAATGTGACAAGTTTTAAGTCACTAGGACACACAGGTTCGGTTACTCATGGAACAAGAGACGTGGTTCAATTATCAAAAATAGAACAGTTTATTTGTATACAATAGTAAAAATACAATTTCTAAAAACAGTCACACAGGGCTATATCCAAAAGGGAGAACGAACAAGGGGGCTGAGGCTTACCAGTGGGGGAGAGGGTCAACGAATGAGTAGAGGGATCCCACAAAAACAAACTTAAGTCACCCCGGTCACACGTGTTCCACACTCACACAATCACACGGAGAAAAGATCCAAAAACCCGGGGGAAGCACAGCACATGGAAAGGGGGAAGCCACCACCTCGGACACCAATACCACCACCTTCAGCTCTCAGTAACTAAAACAGGAAAACAAGGGAAACACAATAAGTGGGGGACAAAAACACAGAATGACTCAAAATGAAATAAACCAAAATAAGGCGCAATCATGCGGCATAAACAAAACTATGCAAAAAGCAAAGAAAGAAAACCTAAACCAAAATCATATAAACAAACAATGATTTGACCAAAGATATATCGACACTAATTAAGTATAAAATAAGCCAAAAGAAAAGAAAGAAAATAACAAAAGAAAATAGGAATAAACAAAAATAAACTATTAATGAAAAGGAACAAAGTAAACAAAATAGTTGAAATTGGTGAAGGAAAGAATAACTAAACAGAAGGAGTTAGCCCAGCAGTCCAGTCACTAAAATACCACTAGGGGAGCGGACCTCTAGTACAGAGTAGGCCACGCTAAACCGGCCCAACCACAGTAGCCAAAAGCGAACAATCCAAGTAGTGTCCAGCAGCACAGGATCGGTAGGGCAGGTGATGATACTGCCGTAGGCAATGCCAAACCGGACCGGACACGATAGCCAGACGCAGACAATCAACTAGCACTTTAGCAGCACACAAGATCAGCAGTACGGGTGATGACCCTGCGCCAGAAACCCGTCTCTTTTCGGTGCAGCAAAACAGCAGCGGTTCTTTAAAGCCTTAGCTTGGCCCTAGATTAACAATAAACACACAAGTATAATATTAATGTTCAGGAAAGGTGTGGTGAATGGACTGAACAAATCGCCGTACATACCGATCAGGCAGAGAGGAGAGAGTTTCATGCTCTTTATGTTACGGCTACTTGACGGGCATCGCCAGGAAGACCCTCCGCTATACAAAACAAAACGTGACTACACGTAAGTATGATAAATTGCAAAACTTTACCTGAAGCCAACTATTCTCCTACAACATACCTACGCCGGTGGCGGAAGCAAAACACTGCAAGAACGGAAGTGGGTTGGTCTGGGCACCAGCGAACAAGAGGCCGCTAGCTATAAGCCTCTGCTCCTTTATAGGGTGCCCCCTGGCGGTAATAGGCTAAAAATAATATGCCTTACAACACTATTTACTGCTCATCCTGCCACAATCTACCACCCCATTTTCATCGTTGCCCCGACGATGTACAAATCAAGCCCAGGTTAGCTAACCTAGGCCCAAGGTCTAAAGATGACAGACACAGAGTTAGACACCGGACCAGGAGAGATTTCAGCCACAGGCGCCAATTCTCCCAACGCTCTCGGGAGATGATGGACATTAGGATGCTGCACAGCGGTTAACCGTGGTGTCCGTCGCAAGGTCACTGCGCTAGATTCGGGGCAAGTGGATGGAGGGATAGCCAAGCGAGGGGAAGGCAATTCTGGCATGGCAGCGAGAGCTACCGAAGGACCGGCCTCAATGGAGGCTTCGTCAGATGGTGGAGGCAGCCACCAAGGGGTTTCTGGGGTCACCACAGCTGATCTGGTAGAAGGAGGATTCGGAGCTTCATTTCTTGAAACCCACAGGTCACCATCAAAGGAAAGCTCATCATCTGACTGTGGTGAGTCAGGAGGAATTGAGAGAGGGACAGGGACATCATCTGGAGACCATCTGGAGTGTGTGCCAATCACAGCTTTCAACAAAGTGCGGTGGACCCGTTTGGTTTTGGTCAGGTCGTTTGCAGGTGCAATCGTGTACACCGAGCCGCCGTTTGGTGCTTTCACCACTATATACCTGACAGAACTCCAAATATCCCTGATCTTATGGCGTCCTCTTGCACCACAATCTCGCAACCAGACTAACTGGCCCTCGTTCAATGGGACATCTTTGACATACTGGTCATGGCACCTCTTTCTGCGCTCTGCTGCAGTTTTTAACCTCTCTTGAGCTCCTTCAAAGGCAATTTGCAATTTTGCCTGATGCTCCTGAATCCACTCATGGACAGGACCACCGACTGGATCAGGGACTCTACCCAACAGAAAATCAACTGGGAGCCTTGGCTCTTGTCCAAACATCAACAAGAATGGAGATTCACCAGTTGACTGATGGGGAGTAGTGTTGTACGAATACAGTAGTTGTGGCAAGCAAGAGTTCCAATCCCGTTTCCGAGACACAGGCAGAGTACGCAGCAAGTTGTGAAGGGTTCGGTTGAACCGTTCACATTGACCATTGCCTGCCGGATGATAGGTAGTAGTGCGAGATTTTTCGATGTTATAGAGGATGCAAAGTTGTTGGATAAGAATGCTCTCAAAGTTTCGGCCTTGGTCTGAATGTATACGGGCTGGGACACCAAACTTTGAAAACCATTCTGTGACCAGAACTTGAGCCACAGTGGAGGCTCGTTGGTCGCGGGTGGCAAAGGCCAAAGTGTACTTGCTAAAAATGTCTGTAATTACAAGGACATTTTCCAACCTACTATAGGTGGGCTCCAAGACAGTGAAGTCAATGGCTAGAATTTCATTGGGTCTAGAAGCCAGCAAGTGTCCCATGGGAGCACGAGCCACCTCAGAGGACATACCTGGCCAGTAACACCGCTGCCTAAGTAGCTCCAAGGTTCTTTCAATACCTTGGTGGCCATGCCTCTGGTGGACTTCGGTGAGCACCTGCTCTCTCAAAGCAGCTGGCAAAAGCAGCTGCAGAACTGCTTCAGCCCCATCAGAGCGAAAGATCTGGCGATAGAGGACCCCACTCCTCTCAACTAACCGGTCCCATTGGCGGAGCAGTGCCAATGCTTGCCGGGACAACTGCTTCCTCTCATCATTGCTTGGACGCTGCCTCCTTCTCCAGAACACCAAGAATTCCTGAAGGACGGGGTCGGCTTGCTGAAGTGCCTCCATATCAGACTGTGTATGATGAGGCAAGGCTATGACAGCTGCTTGGGTTGCCTGTGCTACTGGCAAGGCTTGCCGTAAAGGCAAGGGGAGTGAGGTGCTAGGGAGCATAGCTTCAAGATCTTGCACCCCTGGTGGGTGCTGACGGGACAGGGCATCAGCATTTCCATTACTTCTACCAGAGCGGTACTTAATCTCAAAGTCGAAAGACGCAAGTTGGGCTGCCCAACGTTGTTCAGTGGCTCCAAGCTTTGCCGTGGACAGGTGGCTAAGGGGATTGTTGTCAGTGAAGACAACACATTTATGACCAAGCAGATATTCCCTACATTTCTCAGTCATGGCCCACTTGAGCCCCAAGAACTCCAGCCTCATAGAGCTGTAGTTAGCAGAATTGCATTCCGTGGGCCTCAGACCTCTGCTGGCATAAGCTATGGGCCTGACCTTACCACCTTGCTCCTGTGATAGCACAGCTCCGAGGCCACCAAAGCTTGCGTCGACCTCCAGAATGAATGGGAGGGAGAAGTCGGCATAGGAAAGCACAGGTGCCGTGGTGAGCTTTGTCTTGAGAGCCTCAAAGCTCCTATGACACTACTCAGTCCAGTTCCCAGCAATTTCACGCTCTGATCTCCTTTTGGACTTGGTGCCTCCCAACTCAGCCACCAACGTATGTAGAGGGGCCGCCAATTTGGCAAAGCCCTCCACAAACCTACGGTAGTAACTGGCAAAACCAAGGAACGACCGCAGTCCAGAGATGGTAGTGGGGGACTGCCAACTCGCTACCACCTCCTGTTTGCTGGGATCAGTAGAGACACCCTGGTCAGAAATCACATGGCCCAGGTAACGCACCTCTCGCTGGAAGAAAGCACACTTTGATAGCTTAGCCTTTAAGCCCTCATGCTGTAGCCTTTTCAACACGACCTCCAACCTCTCAAGATGTTGATCCACGGTGGAAGAGAATACCACGATGTCATCAAGGTATAAAAGCAAAGATTGGCATTGTTGGTCCCCGAAGATCCGCTGCATCAATCTTTGGAAGGTGCCAGGAGCCTTGCAGAGTCCAAAGGGCATCCGATTCCACTCAAAGAGGCCAAACGGGGTGCAAAACGCAGTTTTTGGCCGGTCTGCTTCTGCAACTGGTACCTGGTTATACCCACTGGCTAAATCCATAGTGGGAAACCAGCTGGCACCGGTCAGCGCATCAAGGGACTCTTCGATTCGAGGGAGAGGAAAAGCATCTTTCCTGGTTTTGCTGTTCAGCTGCCTGTAGTCTACGCACATGCGCAGGCTGCCATCTTTCTTTTTCACTAGCACGATGGGGGATGCGTAGGGGCTGCAACTCTCTCTTATGATCTGTGACTCAAGAAGTTGGTTGATGTGCTCCTTCACTACCTCGTACTCAGACGGGGGAATGCGCCTATAGCGTTGCTTCACGGGGACGTCATCAAGAAGAGGGATGTCATGAGAGATCAAGGTGGTGCAACCCAAGTCCCCCTCGTGAGCAGAAAAGACAGATGTGTGCCTTGTCAAAAGAGACCGTACCTTAACCTGTTCTTCAGCAGGCAAGGAAGACAGGTCCAGAGCATCCAGCTGGTCAGGCACAGAGGGAAAGGCAGCCTGGGATGCCACTCTGGCCACACTAGATGATACTTCGGTGACACCAACAGGCAAGTTAACCAGCCTAACTTCATCGAGTGTGCCTACCAGTGTGCGGGGATAGAGCAACACGTCTACGGAGCCTACGTTCACAATAGGAATATAGGCGGTGCCCCTTTCCACCCGAACCAGAGCTGGAGAGGCAAGCAATCCAGCCGGAAGACCCGAATCCAAGGGCTCAAATAACACAGTGCCACTTGAGTACTGCTCTGAGCATGTGGCTGCAACAATCTTCATCATGCCACCAAGGATACGACAAGCCTTCCTTCCACGCACTTTTACCCCTCCTGAGACGCCAGGGGGGGGCTGCACACTGGACTGATGGCATTTTTGCAAAGCCTCAATGAATGACTGGGGGGCCGAAGATACAGGAGGTAAGGAAAACAAGACCAACCCATGCTGTCCAAAGAGCTCTTGATAACATCTGCGAATGATGTTCATCCCCAAGATACCAGGGAATGCAGAAGAGACACCACCAACACGCCACAGCTTGCCATTACCTTTCCACATAGCTCAACGTCCAGCTCCAAGTAGCCGATGTAAGGGATGGCTAACCCATTGGCTGCCCTGAGCTGCAGCCAGTGACAAGATTGAAGCTTCTCTTGGCCCCAGGGCTCAAAGTGCTGAAGGAAAAAGCTCTCTGTGACGGTGGACACCATGGACCCAGTATCCACCAAGCAAGGAACGATAACTCCCCCCATGCTGACATCTAAATGTGGACAAGACGACATGAGCTTAAAAGCTTCTCCTGAGCCTGTGACTCCACCCCCCGAACTGTGGCTCTGTAATTCGGCGGGCGCTAGTTTTCCGATGGCTGAGTGAAACGGCACTGCCCGCTAGACTGTTGAGCAGGTGAGGACGGTCGAGCACGAGGAGCAGCACGTACCCCATCGCACTCTCTGGCTAAATGACCGGGTAGCTGGCAACGTCTGCAAATGATGGGGCCCCTATAGGGGGGGGCGACTGTGCAGCTGAGAGTCCTGGAAACGAGAAATGTTTTGAGTAAGTGTATTAAGCTGCTCTTGCTGGAGTTTTAGCATCTCTCTCATCTCACTCAGTTCAGACACCTGGGAGCCAGTCACCACCCTGAACTCCATACCAAGAACTAAAGGGACAGAGTGACTTCGGCCCCTATTAGCACCAGGCAAACCCTCCCGCTCCCACCTGATTGCTTCCGCCCTGGCATCAAGTAATGCTGCAGTAGGCTGCCGACGTACCAACTGTTTTAACTCACGTCGCAATGCACCGTCAATGACATGCTCTACAAATTGGTCGCGCAGCAAAACCTCTGCATTAGGCATATTGTCAGGCGCCCGCTGCTTTACAGACGACATAAGACTAAGCTACGCAAGGGAGAATTCCTGCAAAGTCTCCCCTTCTTGCTGTCGTCGGGAGAAGAAAGCCTCTTGTAAAGCTACGTAAGAATCGGAACAACCATACAGCTCTTGCAACACAGCAAGGACTTTAACAGGGTCTTCCCGCTCAGCACTTGAACGGTATTTTATCTCATCACGGGCCTCTCCTTCGAGATGGTCAAACAGGAAAAATGCCTGATCGGATATAGCCAAACGGCGCGCTCTCATACAAGCCTGTATTTCTGTATATTTCTGTATATTCCTGTATGTATATCGGTAGGGCAGGTGATGATACTGCCGTAGGCAATGCCAAACCGGACCGGACACGATAGCCAGATGCAGACAATCAACTAGCACTTTAGCAGCACACAGGATCAGCAGTACGGGTGATGACCCTGCGCCAGAAACCCGTCTCTTTTCGGTGCAGCAAAACAGCAGCGGTTCTTTAAAGCCTTAGCTTGGCCCTAGATGAACAATAAACACACAAGTATAATATTAATGTTCAGGAAAGGTGTGGTGAATGGACTGAACAAATCGCCGTACATACCGATCAGGCAGAGAGGAGAGAGTTTCATGCTCTCTATGTTACGGCTACTTGACGGGCATCGCCAGGAAGACCCTCCGCTATACAAAACAACACGTGACTACACGTAAGTATGATAAATTGCAAAACTTTACCTGAAGCCAACTATTCTCCTACAACATACCTACGCCGGTGGCGGAAGCAAAATACTGCAAGAACGGAAGTGGGTTGGTCTGGGCACCAGCGAACAAGAGGCCGCTAGCTATAAGCCTCTGCTCCTTTATAGGGTGCCCCCTGGCGGTAATAGGCTAAAAATAATATGCCTTACAACACTATTTACTGCTCATCCTGCCACACCTAGTATCCCTGCACATATAATGGTTGGGCAACTTGAAATGGATTTGTCCACATTGTCACTAGTTGACCTTCCCTAAATAAACTTGGTTGATACTGGCAAAGCATTCTATTAGCATGTACTGCGCTATAGCATGTTGGAGTCTCAAGTTGATCATAAGTGAAGAATCTAGGGGCTCGCCTTTCCCTCCTTGGTAGATCCTCTCTTTGCTCCCTTTCATCTCCACCTGAATCTGAGTATGGGGATGTTGGGTTCTCATTCTGTGCTTCCTCAACAGGTTGAACATCTCCACACTCACAATTTTCCTCTGGCAGCACATCTTCTTGTGCGTTTGTTATCATCTCTTTAACCACAGGCTCATCTGTACTCAACACTGGTGTGTTCTGTTCAGCACCATCTTGTGTGTTAGACTGCTCCATGGTTACATCAATAAAGGGCCTTTGAGAATGTTCTACTGGCTTGTAGTAGTACTCAAACTCCTCTTCGTCATCTTCCTGTTCCCGAGCTGTGTCTTCAGCAGCTGTCTCTGTCATCCTTCTTTCATTCTTTTGCTTGGACACTGGCCGTGTCTCAATTCAGGGGTTGTATCCTTCGGGGTACGCAGCCTACGCGGTCGACGCAGGAAGCGGCCGACGAGACCGCGTAGGCTGGACCGAGCGGCCTATGAAATGAGACGGTCTAGCGTACGGAGCGCTTCGTATTTACGTCACGTGATACGAGCTGTTCGGTTGTGTTGCTCCAGCAGCCTGCTAGCAAATTAGCTGAAAAGGATCCAGAAACTTTACTTTTGAATTTTTTGGAGATCACCATCGGAGATTAAATAAAGAGAACCATGGCCAGGTAAATAAGATGAAGCTGTTCCTTTAGCCCCCAGTAATGTTACATTATAGTTAACAAGTAAATTATATAGCTGATGTAATTTAATCATATTATTTCATATATTTAAAATAAGTCTTAATTTTTCTGTACTAATAAAACAATACGTTTTTTAAAGGAACAAAAGCATGTTGTATAGATTGATTGTAAACAATATTAGTGTTCTAATCTTAATAGCTGTGATTATAACAGTTTATATTCTCCTTCTTGTATTAATAACATCTTAATAGCTGACCTAGAGATATCCTATTATTCCACTGCTTATGTACACATGTTGTAAATAATCTTTAAAACCTCAGTAAATGAAATAAACAATGTGTTTAACAATTACAATTTAATATTGTATTTTCATCTTATCACAAAGTAGAGGTAACAATATATCCATCCTCTCTCTGCAGCTTCATGTCTTCTATTATTATAACTTTCATCATTGAGACAGAGGAAATCAATCATGTTATTTAACATCACATCTTACTTATTCCTTCTCTCTGTCTATACCTGTGTACTCTCATGTTCCGATTAACCCAGCTTTCCCAAATGTCTTTCTTTTTGGTGTCTATATACGCCGGGATCCGGAGTCATGGATGATCCTGCGCTCCTCTGTCCTGGATCGCGAGCCCTGGATCTTGAGTCGTGGCTGTGGTCCTGGATCATAGGTCCTGGATGGATATCCTCGTGGATTCATCTTCCTATTATACACACATGCATTTCCAAACATTTGGACTACCTATGTTGCAAATGTATTATCTTTTCAATTTACACACGGCATCTATTGCACGTCTGTCCGTCCTGGGAGAGGGATCCCTCCTCTGTTGCTCTCCCTGAGGTTTCTCCCATTTTTCCCTTTAAACTGTGGGTTTTCTCCGGAAGTTTTTCCTTGTACGATGTGAGGGTCTAAGGACAGAGGGTGTCGTATTGTCATACTGATATTTTGTACAAACTGTAAAGTCCACTGAGACAAATGTAACATTTGTGATATTGGGCTATATAAATAAACATTGATTGATTGATTGATTGATCACCAGCAGTAACACAAATATCAGCAAAAGTGTGTTTATGGAGTTGTTTATTTGTATTATATGTGCAGCAAGTATATAGAAGCAGCTGTTTGGGGAATCAGACAGACTCAAGCTATAATCGTTAGATATCTATTAAAAGAAAGGACACATACAAAATCAAATTCTGAAAGTAAGACACAAGTCTGTAGGATGGCAGTAAGCAGAGTGAAGGATGTTCCTGATCGCCGTTTTGCTTTCTCCAGCACCTAGGGGTGTCCAGGTGGATGGCAGCTCTGTCCTGATGATCCGCTGGAGTTAGGGGTCCTTCTCCAGCACCTCGGGGGGTCCAGGTGGATGGAGCTCTGTCCTGATGATCCGCTGTGCACTTTTCAGATTAGGGGTCCTTCTCCAGCAGATCCATTTCTCCAGAATTGTCCTAATTACAGAGAAAAACAAGAGAAAAATAAAAAAGTGAATTAATCATATTAAACACAGGGTTGCAAAAGTATTATTGCAAAATGTAACTAAGCATTTCAGACAAACAATCCTTAAGGGATCATTTAAAATGATGTACTGTTCTGGTTTTTAAAAAAATAAAGAGATGAAATGACAGTCACACGTGCATCCCTTTGACAGCACAAACTAACATCAAGCAAAAGGCTGCTGTCTATTTTTGATTGTCTTATTATTATGGGATTAGGATAAATTAAATAAACTTTAACCTAAATAAAAGATGATCAAATCTGGTGGAAATATTTAAAATAGGCTTTTCTTTTAGCCCTACCTCAAAGCAGCATGAGCTGAATAAAAAGGTTGGAATGTTGTCCCAAAGTTTAATAAACAGTAAAACATTGGAACATGTCAGAAACATAAATAAAGCTAACAGCAGACGTCAGGGTAGCATTTTATAAATCCCACCGTACTGTAGGCTATACCGGTCTAAACGTTTTCACTTTGGTCTATTTATGTAATATAATAATAATAATAATAATAATAGCTTCGATTTCTATAGCGCCTTTCAGGGGACCCAAGGTCGCTTCACAAGTAATAGTGCAAAGACAAACATAACAAAACAAAAGACAGACACACAGAACAACAGATCGATTTAGGGGCCGAAAGCCTTGGCAAACAGATGGGACTTGAGGGCCCTTTTGAAGGCTTCAAGTGTGGGGATGTTGCGTATCTCCGCAGGGAGAGCTTTCCAGAGGGTGGGGGCTGCCACACTGAAGGCTCTGTCCCCGTAGGTTCGCAGTTTGGTGCGGGGGGTGGTAAGCAGGCCAGAGTCTGAGGACCGCAGGTTCCGGGGTGGGGCATGTGGGTGAAGGATGTCCGATAGGTACTGGGGGGCAAGGGCATGGAGGGATTTGTAGGTAAGGAGGAGGATTTTGTAGGATATGCGGGACTTGACCGGCAACCAGTGTAGGTGGATGAGGGTGGGAGTGATGTGCTGCCACGGTTTTGTGTGCGTGAGTACCCTAGCAGCACAGTTTTGGACATACTGGAGCCTGTCCAGGGTTTTGTTGGGAACCCCGAACAGGACACCATTGCAGTAGTCCAAGCGGGTGGTGACAAATGCATGGACTAGGGTTTCAGCAACCGACTCTGAGAGTGACGGTCGGAGTCTGGCAATGTTCCTCAGGTGATAAAAGGCCGATTTGGTCACAGATTTGACGTGGGAATGGAAGGAAAGGGTGGAGTCGAGGATGACACCCAGGTTGCGGGCTTCAGGAGATGGGGAGATGGAGCAGCCGTCAACCTCGAGGACGAAGTCACCAACCTTCTGGAGCAGGGCCTTGGGTGCCACAACCATGAGCTCTGTTTTCATGCTGTTTAGTTTCAGATAGTTACATGACATCCATGCTTTGATGTCATGCAGGCAGTTGATGAGAGACTGAGGGGGGAGCTGGGAGGATGGAGTGGTGCTGAGATACAATTGGGTATCATCAGCGTAGCAGTGGAAGTTGAGTCCATGATGTCGGATGATCTGGCCGAGGGGGAGCATGTAAATGGTGAACAGGAGGGGGCCAAGCACAGAGCCCTGGGGTACACCGTGGTGGACTGGGGCCGGGGCTGAGTTTGAGCCACTGATGGAGACAAACTGTTTCCTGTTGTGGAGGTAGGATGTCAACCAGGACAGCGCTGTGCCAGTGACACCTAGGAGGTCTGAGAGGCGGGTGAGGAGGATGTTGTGAGAGATGGTGTCAAATGCTGCAGAGAGGTCCAGGAGGATGAGGATGCTGAGGCGGCCAGAGTCAGCAGCAATGAGGAGATCGTTGGTGATCTTGATGAGGGCGGTCTCAGTGCTGTGTTGCTGTCTGAAGCCGGATTGGAAGGGCTCATAGATCTCATTGTTGGACAGGTACTGATGGAGTTGGCCGGCGACCACTCTTTCCAGAGTTTTGCTGAGGAAGGGAAGGTTGGAGATCAGCCGGTGGTTCTGGAGGTCGTCGGGGTCCAGGCCAGGTTTTTTGAGTATGGGGGTGACTGAGGCCAGTTTGAAGCTGGTGGGGACTATACCAGGAGCCAGAGAAGCGTTGATGATGACCACCATGTAGGGACAGAGGGTGGGTAGGCAGTCCTTGACCAGGGCTGTGGGCATGGGGTCCAGGGAGCAGGTGGAGGTCTTGGCCAAGCTGACCAGTTTGGCCACTTGGAGAGCATCCACAGGGGAGAAGGAGGAGAGGTTGGAGTGGGAGAGGCGCGGCGCTTGGGGTGCATTACCAGGTGGCTGAGGTGCAGGTAGGGGGGAAGGGCCAGTCACCAGGAGCTGCTGATGGATGGCCTCGACTTTCGCCTGGAAGAAGTCAAGGAATTTGGAGCACAGATCGGGAGCCCCTGAGGGCTGAGGGGCGTCAGGGGGCCGTAGTAGGCGGTTGATGGTGGAGAACAGTCTTCTGGGGTTGCTTTGCTGAGCACCAATGAGACGGGAGTAGTAGTGAGTCTTGGCATGGGAGAGAGCTTCCTTATATGTTTTGATAT